AACCGACATGTTGTGCCCCACAATCGTTACTTATTGATGAAATATGGTGCTCACATTAATGTTGAATGGTGTAATCAATCTCGATCCATAAAATATCTGTTCAAATATGTCTTGTTCCCAGTACTAGTACAATGACGTAGTAAAATACGTTCACCTTGTCTTTGTGGGTTGCATTTCCTTCACCTGCTCCAGCTGTACATGATACTAACATCCATGTAAAGTGGAAGTGAGGCATGTTGGCGGATATTTGGATTTCAAATACAACATCGTGATCCTCCCGTGCAACGTCTTGCCTTTCACTTACCAAATTAGCAGAGAATTATATTTTCAGATAATGAAGCATTGGAGAAGATCATAGCAAGGAATACATTAAACCAAAATATGTTTCTAGGCTGATTTGAAGCAAATAAAATTTATGATGAAGCTCGGAGCTTGACATACGCAGAATTCCCAGAGAAATTTGTTTGGAAAAATGATATAAAAGCGTGGCAACCGCGGAAGAGACGTTTTTGCATCGGCAGAATGTATTATGTCCCTCCAGGATCTGGTGAGGTATACTACTTGCGTTGTTTATTGAATGTTGTAAAAGGACCGTGTTCGTTTGAAGACATTAGGACTGTAGAGGGAACTTTGTATCCCACCTTCCGTGATGCATGTTGCGCATTAGGATTGGTAGAGGATGACAAAGAATATATTGATGCAATCATTGACGCAAGTAGCTGGTCCTCAGAGATGTCTTTGAGGAACTTATTTGCAACTTTGCTTATTTCTGGGTCATTAATCCGTCCCGAAGATGTATGGGAGAAATGTTGGACATAACTTTCAGCTGATATTCTATATCAACAATGGAGAATACTACAATACCCAGGTATAATTTAGAATTTTTAAGTTAACATCATTAATTTCATTAAATATCATTTAAAATGTTCACTGTTTATAATTTTCAGATTTACGTTTGTCAGAAGAAGAGGTAAAGAATTATGCCCTCGCAGATATTGAAAAGCTTCTCCGCAGTCGTGGTAGGAGTTTGCATGATTTTCAATGTATGCCATTTCCAAGGGCCGAGTATCTACACAGTTCTGAAAACAGATTGATAAACGATGAAATGTGTTACGATCGGCGTAATTTGTGCATTGAGCATGACCAGCTTTTATCAAAGTTAACTGACGAGCAAAGAGTTGTGTATTCCTCTATCATTGAAGCAGTTGAAAAGAACATTGGTGGAATGTTTTTTGTGTATGGATATGGAGGAACGGGAAAGACATTCATTTGGAAAACACTATCGGCGGCAATTAGATCGAAAGGGGAGATAGTATTAAATGTTGCGTCAAGTGGTATAGCTTCTCTATTATTGCCTGGTGGAAGAACAGCTCATTCACGTTTTAAAATTCCAATAATTGTTAACGAAGAGAGCATGTGCAGAATTACTCAAGGAAGTCCTTTAGCCCAGTTGTTAATTCAATGCAAATTGATTATATGGGACGAGGCGCCTATGATGCACAAACATTGTTTTGAAGCCTTAGATAGAACTATGTGGGATATATTACGTGTGGTGAATAAGGATAGCCAGGTCAAACCATTTGGAGGCAAAACAATTGTTTTTGGTGGTGATTTTAGACAGATACTACCAGTAATTTCCAATGGGTACTAGGCAAGATATTGTTTTAGCCACCATTAATTCTTCATACTTGTGGTCTGATTGCAAGGTCCTGAGACTTACCAAGAACATGAGAGTTTCAAATGGAAAGGAGAGTGAGAGCACAGAAATTGAACGTTTTACCCGTTGGATAGCAGATATTGGTGACGGAAAGGTTGGTCCTCCTAATGATGGTTGTGCAAAAATTGAAATTCCATCAGATTTGCTGGTTGAACCAGGGAATAATCCTAAAGGAAGAATGGTAGAAACAATTTACCCTGCATTTGCAACAGATTTTTGGTGAAGATGGTTTACTACAAGAAAGAGCAATTTTAGCCCCAACACTTGAAGTAGTTGAATCAATAAATCAACACATGATCACAATGAATGCTGGAGATGAGAAGGTCTATTTGAGTGCCGATAGTGCTTGCCAATCTGATATGAATGCTTCTTTAGTTGGGGATTTACACACCACAGAGTATTTGAACTCGATTAGATCTTCGGGAATTCCGAACCACGAACTAACACTAAAAGTTGGCACTCCGATAATGCTTTTGCGCAACATCGATCATGTTAATGGTCTGTGCAACAGAACACGTTTAATTGTTACAAGACTTGGTAACCGTTTGTTGGAAGCAAAGATGATTCATGGAAAAAATGCAGGACAAACGGTCTTAATACCGCGAGTTTCATTGACTCCATCCGATACCAGATTGCCATTTAAGTTTCAAAGAAGACAATTTCCGGTTATGGTGTCATATGCAATGACCATAAACAAAAGTCAGGGACAGTCTCTCTCTCATGTTGGTTTATTCTTGAAAAAACCTGTTTGTATGTCGCCATGTCGAGGGTACGATCTCGCGAGGGATTAAAAGTAATGATATGTAATTCTGATAATACTCCATGTAATACTACAGATAATGTAGTTTATAAGGAGGTTTTTGAAAATGTATAATTGATGTTTAAACATAAGTTGTTTATTTTAATTCATTTGAATAGTATATATGTATGGAATAGTATGGTTTGAATGTTAGTGGTTTTATTTAAAATTAAATTTTTAATATGATATGCAGGTAGATGGACATATCTCCTTATTTATTAAATAATACTACCTCCGTCCCACTCTCTTTGTCCACTTTTGACTTTTGGAATTGTTCATCTAAGCACTTTGACTCATCAAATTCTCCCAATGTGTAAGCCTAAATATAGTCATGTGTGATCTTGTTTGATTTGTCTTAACATATAGATTACTAATATATAATTTCTATAATTTTTAATATACAAATTACAAGATAAAATGGATTAAAGAAGTGCATTGGATGGTGTGCCAAAAGGTAAGTGGACAAAGAAAGTGGGACGGAGAGAGTATTCAGTATCAACAATTCTCATATCTAAAGAAGTTTGTGATAAACCTTATCTCTCCGTGCATCGCACGGGTGATGCACTAGTAAAGACTAAAACAAAGAAAGACTTTAAGGAAAAGAAAGAAAGACGCAGGAAGAAACAAAAAAAATCCTCTAATTTGAAGTTCATCTCAAATTTTAGAATCCCTCCCAATTTTTCATTGCCCGCCTAATATGTGCCCCAATTTTGCAATTAGGTCTAAGTGAGAAAGGACGCGAGTTCCTTGCGTCGGAGCACCCTCGCCTTCCTTGCGTCGGAGCCAAGTGAACCAGTCGCGACTGTGGCCGGCCCAGGTTCAGCCGTGCCTTCCTCTCTTTGGAATAGGTAATGAATTTGGAGACTTCTCCCACTTGGCAATTTGATTCTAGCTAGTGATTTTGTTTTGTTTTGTGAAATATGTGTTCGATTCTACTGGTGATGTTTTTTAGGAATGAATTGTTGATTTTTTGTTAATGAATTTCATTTTTAGTGGAAGAAATTTAATTTTTGCCACCTGCCCTATTCGATCAAGAAATAAAAGGTTTTTAGAAATTCAAATGTTAAATTGGATTTCATTATTTTAGAAGAAATTGGCTTCAGAAACCCCTTCATCAATCCTTTTCCCCTTCTTGTTAATAAATTTTATTTATTTAGACGATATTCATATGTTAAATTGGTTGTTATTTTTACGGTAGACTTATTGGTTTGACCTAATGGAGGAGTTGGGGTTTAACAATGTTGTCATTCAGGGCTGAATGTAATCTCAGGGTTGTGACTCGTAACAATGCTCATTTTGTTTTGTGTGGACAAAGTGTTGAAAAAAGTGGGCAACACGTGATAGAATTGTTCAAAGATCATGGCATAACACTTGGAGAAGTAGTGACACTCTTTGGTAAGGGACATTTTAGTAAGCGTATTTTGTTACAATTCTATGCGAGATATATGCTAAAATACGTGTTGGTTCCAATCCGAACTTATTTTAAAGTAAGAGTACGCAACATAGTGTTCAAGTAGTTCTTACCCTCCACATTTTGAACTTTCAAGGCAGAAAAAGACAGACCAAAAGGTGGAAATCAAATTCTGAAGTTGCAACAATATGCAAGGTAAGTCTTGTGTCCAAGAAATGTTGAGGATACTATGGCAGAAAAGAAATGTTGAGGATACTACTCAAAGACACCAATATGTATTGGTTTTTTTATATACTAGAATTGTGTAGTGTAATACGTTCTTTTGTTATGTAAATGAGTTTTGTATAAAAATTATTTTTTTGGTTATGTAATTGCTACTAGCTAGTTATCAGAGGTTATGGTCTGATGTTAGATGATGATACTTTCTTTTTTTGGCACATGATGTACGGTTCTAGCTTAGGACCTAGGCTGGATGTTGTACAGGTTAGGAAACACGGAATGCAAACAATATATAATCTACGCTGTATACACACAAACACAGATTAACAATGGCATTTTGTACTTAGAGTATATGGCACTTATGGCAGAACCTTGTGCATTTTTGCTTGTTACTTTATTGCATGTGGATCAAGTTTTTTTCATTGTGCAGTGGCCACTTCCGTACTTATGTAATCTTCATTGTTTTTTCTATTATAGAAAATGGACGTCGGGCAAAGCCATACCCTCCATGGCCAAGAACAAGTGTTTGTCTGTCGAGACGAAGAAAAAGATCCCCTCACCTAGCTCTCTAAAAGAATTAGACTATTAGTCAGGAAAGTCTAATTTTGGTTTTATAGTTTTGAGCTTTCTATAGATTTTGTAGCTTTTTCTTTCATGCTTTCACTTTAGGTCTATGGATTGGTTTTATGGCTCTGTTCTGGTCATAGAATTCTATGAAACTTATGTCATTTTGTGTAATCTTATCACAAATTATAATCAACTTTCTCAAGCCTTCAAGGCCATCAACTGTTAGCTTCTGATTTTAGGTTAATGCTGAGTTTGAACTATTCTGACAGCCTATTTGCTATTCTTAGCATCAAGTGGTTGGGCTCTTTATTTCCTTTGATGTTTTGCAGATTCATGTAGAGACAATACTATGTGTTTTTTAAATGTGTTGATGGCTACGCCTTCTGGTTCCCAATCACAATCTGTTGGGAGGGACTTCCAACTAAGGTGTTAAAAATATGGCTGAAGGTGTGTATGGACGATAATGGTGTTTATGATGTGAGATTGATTGATTTTATGGGTTCCCAATTCCTTTTGTGTGTAGCGGGACAGTACCCAGCCTGTCCATGTACTTTTTCTTTCGTTTGAATGGAAGTGTTTATTTTTCCATGTCCATATAATTCTTTAAGACAATGGTTATTTGATTGTTGTATAAATTTTTCCTGAAAGTATGAAAGTAAAGTTAGAGAGCGTATACATTTTCATTGTAAAAATTATTACCGTTTCTCTAAACTTTTAAAATAGTTCTAGGCTCTTAAGAGATAGACTGCTGTTTAAAACGAGTATTTTTAACTTATTATAAACAACTCTGCCAAAAAATTCACATCTCACAGACAAATGGTATTAGATTACTATTTCCCAGGATTTTAGAAACAGTTGTCCGCTTATTCCGCACAATTCTCTTAAAAACAGTTTTCTTTACTTATTATAGATAACCGTGAAAAAAATGGTGTGACACATACTACTAGTAATACATTACGGTTTCTCAAAACTTTGAAAATAGTTCTAGGCTTAATAGTCTAACTATTGTTTAAAAAGGGTATTCTTAATTTATTATAGACAACTTGTAATAGATTACGGTTTTTATGAATTTCAAAAACAGTTCTACGCTATATAAATACACTAATGTTACAAGGGGGTCTTCTATTCTTATAATAAACAATTCTACAAAAAAACTATATGAAACATACAACTAACAATACAATACTATTTCTTATAAGTTTAAAAACAGTTATACACTGGGAAACAGACTTCTGTTAGCAAGTAGTAGTCTTAACTAATTATTGACAGCTGTGGCAATAAAAACTGCACTTTTTGATGAAACCGACTACTAATAATAAATGACTGTTTCTCACAGCTTCAAAAACAGTTCTACCCATAATTCATAGACTATTGTTGCGAAAGAGTCTTCTATTCCTTATATAAACAACAGTGGCAAGAAAACCATAAGAAACCGACAACAAGCAATAGATAACTGTTTCTAATAAGTTTTAAAACAGTCCTAGACTAAAAACCCAGACTATTGTTTAAATAGAGTATTCTTAACTTGTTATTAACAACTGTCATAAGAAAAACTATATTTTGAACTAACACACACAACTAATGATACGTTGCCATTTGTCCAAACTTAAAAAATAGTTTTAAAGCATAGCAGCTAGACTACAGTTGTGTTGCCAAGAAAAACTTACAGTAGTCTGTTTTCTTTCAACTACTGTGTTTCCATTAACAATAGTTAATCAACAGTCGTTTGATATTATTTTTGGCGTAGTGATAGTCCAGGTCCTCGACCTTTTGCTTCTCAAATTCGGTCTTCCCATGACGGTCGACTTTTGTTGGTGCATGGTCCACCATCCTCGACTGCGTGTTGTTAAGGATATTTAATTATCTCATTTAAATATATATCTTTTGTAATTATCCTAACTGTGGTGGTTAGCTATATGCCTAGTCTCTCCATGTAAATAGGATCACGCAGTCCTCTTCCCTTGCATTTAGGAGCTTATTGTTGTACGTATAAATGTTCGCTCAATTATCAATGCTAATACAATTCATCCAATTCTCTATATGGTATTAGAGCCTCTTTACTCTTAATCGAGATTTTTTTTCTGATCCCTATCTCTTGCTCTTTTATTACCGACGATGTCAACCTCCGTCAATGAACCCACTATGCTGGCCGCCCCAAAACACTTTCCTATCAAACTTACTAAATCCAATTTTCTTATGAAATATTTGCACTAAATAACACTAAAACTTAAGTCATTTCCCTAAATAGCACTTAAACTGTTTTATTCCCTAAATAACACTTAATAATGTCCATAATGTCCAGTGATGGTGAATATTTGCTTGAATAATGACTAATGCATAATGACTAAAAGTGCTACATTGGGAAGAAAAACACATGTGGTGTTATTTAGGGAAAGTCATTATGTTTTAGTGCTATTTAAGTAAATTCCCCTTTTCTTATTTGGCGTCGCCAGGTTCAATCCACCTTGATTGGGATGAACTTGTTGGGCTATCTTGACGGCTCCATCACAGCTCCCAAACAGTTCCTGGATACGGCGTGTACTAAGTTGAATCCCGAATACACAGCTTGGTTCCGTCAAGATCAAATTCTTCTTGGTGCTCTCCTTGGTTCGTGCTCAGACTTGGTGCAACCCCTCGTTTCCCTTGCTGAAACCTCTCATGGTGTTTGCTCCCGACTCAACTCTCATCTTGCGAGCATGTCTCGTGGCCGCATTATCTCCCTCAAAGCTCAACTCAACAAAAATCCACGAGGGAATCGTTCTATTGAAAAATTTATGAAGGATATGACGGATATCGCTACTGATTTAGCCCTTGCTGGGAGTCCAGTTTCTGATGCTGATTTTATTGTCTCAATTATCACTCAATTGGGTGAAGAATATCATGCCATTTATCAATCTCTGCATGGCAGTGGATTGACCCTAACCATTGATGAACTCACTCATATCCTCACTGACTGTGAGAGGCAATTGCAACAAACCAATGTTGCTGATGAATCCCTTGTGCCCACTGCTAATTTCACGCAACGAGGGGCTAGTCAGAGTCGTGCCACTGTGTCGTCAACCTATTCCATACACAACAATTCTGCGGGTGGCTCCCGTCGTGGCAAGGGCATGCGATCTGGGCAGTCTCAGTCCAGGGGCCGCCTTCCTCGTCACTGCAATTTTTGTGATTTTTCCGGCCATGATACGAGATTCTATCGTAAATTGCAACTTTTTCTGAGGGACAAACTGTAACACCCTAATCCATCCAGGTCTGCAGCCCCTTTCGAACTAAAGTATTGATTTGGTAATCGTGATAATTTAAAACATTTCAAACATTTTTATTTATAAATAATATTCCATACATAATTGTAGAGAAATACGGAGTGTTTAAATAAAATGCGGAAGCGACTTTAAGATTTGTCTCATAACAACATAATTATTTATTTCATTCAATAATCTACCACGACTGTCTCGCCCCTTCTACTGCCAGGAATCAGCCAATCATTCATTCTGCCTACCTGCGTGTAGCAAATAAAACACACTATACGCTCAGCGGTGAAGCTGAGTAAGCATATCTAAAGCGTTGAACATCCACATAAATTGAATCTCAATTCACAATAAACCATTTGATATCATGCACACAATATATGGTTCAACCATTCATAATATTTTCCATATTTTATTCCAAGTCATTTGATATTCAATATATCAATAATGCTCTTAAATTATTCTTAATCTAAGGTCAAATCATTTCATAACAACTCTTAACTTTTCCAAGTCTAAGGCAACATTTCTAACCAGGCCCTTAAACTATAAATAGTTTAATGCAGAACACAAAAATCGATAATCCACCCTATGAGTCATGTGGATTACGTACCAACCGAACAATGATTTGTCGGGTGGGTGATATCCGGTCTGGATCCCGTAGTACGTTTTAACCCGAAATATGAATTTGTCAAGTAGGTATATCTTAGAGTTCTTCTAGATATCCTTAATAATCATCATCAATATACAAGTGGGTATATCTCAGAGTTGTTCTAGATATCCTTAACAATACGATTCATTAATTCATTATTTTCACTTTAACAATTCATGATCATCATTCAAAACGTTCATCATCATTAATTCATTATAATCAATAATCAAACAGTCCTCATAATGCATAATAACAAATAGCGGCCTAGTCTCGAGTGTTAACACCCGAACTTACCGTCATGCATCACATAATGTTTATATGTCACAAACATCATTTTTATTGTACAAAATCATATTTATATGGTTTATAATTAATTGGTAACAAAATAGGATTTTAGAGCATATTTTCAATAATATTTTCAGAACAGGATCTGTACTTGAGGAAAATTGATTTTTATTTTTTTAAAATACTCAATTAATACCTAAAAATCGATTTTTATATTTTAAATAATCAATTAAATGCTAAAAATCGATATTTATATTTTAAATAATCAATTAATTGCTAAAAATCGATTTTTATATTTTAAATAATGAATTAAATGCTAAAAATAGATTTTTAAATTTTAAATAAATAATTAATTGCTAAAAATCGATTTTTATATTTTAAATAATCAATTAAATGCTAAAAATCGATTTTTAAATTTCAAATAATCAATTAATGGCTAAAAATCAATTTTTAGTTTCAAAATAATCGATTAATACTTTTTAAATCAATTTTTATATTTTAAATAATCAATTATATACTGACTTCGAACATCCTCTTCTGGACATAATTCTAATCGATTTTTTAGAAGTAAATAATCGATTTTCGGCTACCGTTCATCATCTTCTTCCTCTGGTCAGTTTCGAGTATTATCATTTTTAATCACCAAACTTCAAATAAATTATATAGAAATGTCCTCCGAGGTTCATAGATCATTTTAGAATCATTAAAACATATTTTTAATATCAAATTCAAGGTTTATGATTCTTGGTTCTTCAAATATGTCAAACACAAAACTCAACCAAATGACCATTTATGAACGTAAAAACAACCTATATGAACATTCTAGTCATTAGATATATCTACGGGCTTACCTTGAAGCGTAAGGGAGGTTTTGAAGATTTTCCAGCGAAACATCCGGCGACTCTATCTCACTGCTCCGGCGACCTCACACAAAGATGATAGCACCACTGCACTCTACTCTCAGCAAGGAACAATATAGAAGGAAGAATGAGTGGTTTTGGTGTTGAAATGAGGGAGTTGGGTTGTCCTTAAATAGCCAGGGAAAAGAAGAAGACACAGGTTTGCAGCTTCCGTGATTGAGCGACGAATTTGGAATCGGCGTAATTGAACAAGGCGCGGTTTGGTGTGTAGTCCCTGATTGGGACTAATTTTGGTCCCAAATGGGGTACACTTTTTGTTCCAACTTTCTCCAAATTGAAATCTGATTGAACCGTTGGGGTCAGACAGTCAAACTCTACATAATGATATAATTTTCATATTTATTTGTAATACTTTTTCTGACATCATATTTTTGGGTGGTTGACTTTGACAGACAGTTTTAAGTAAATTAACTGGAAACAAGTTATTTTAAGTATATAAATTAAGTACAATAAATAAAAGTACTAAATAAAGTTATTTAGTAAAGTTTCAAGACATTATAAACAAATCCCTAATTTGGGTCTATACTCTGGTTCCCCAAATTAAGATCATATAGTAAGTCAACATATTGGATTTATCTCTATGAGATTTATCCAGATTGTGATATTGGATATCAATATATGTTTTATTTCAGCCCAAAGCCCAACAACAATTTATTTTAATCAAAACAAATTTGATTAATTGAATAATTATTCATTAATAATTCTAGGGTATATTTTGGGGCGTTACACAACCAGTGTGCACCGCTTGAGCCTTCTCCTACCCATCCTCAGGCGCACAATGTGGTCACACAGAATGTGGCAAACCAGCCTTGGCTTCTGGACAGTGGTGCGTCGCACCATCTTATCTCTCACACTGGTCATACCGTTATTCCTACTCCATCCCAACCTCTTGTCTTGTCTAATGTTTTACGTGTTCCTACCCTACAAACTAATCTTGTTTCCGTTTCTAAGCTCTGCAAAACTAACCATGTGTCTGTTGAATTTTTTCACAATCGGTTTCTTGTGAAGGATGTCTGAACGGGGAAGCCTCTTCTTCAGGGACAAAATCATAATGATATCTACTCCCTACCCATGCTCCGGGTGTTAGAATAATAGACCAACGCTAGAGGGGGGTTAATAGCGTTTGATCAAGAAATCGCAGGAATAAAAAATGAATAAACGAGAAGTAAAGGGAAGAGCAAAAGGCACACCGATTTTACCCTGGTTCACCACAACTTGTGGCTAATCCAGCCTCCCGAGAGACTCTCTCGAGCTACACTACTTCCGTTAAGCTTACGGGTGCTTAACAAACCGTTACAACCTGAGAACTCGAGTCCCACGAGCCTCAACAACACTTGCTCGGAGATACCGCACTCCAAGACTTCAACCCGAAGGAAAGTACCTTTCCTTCGTACAACCAAGGGAAACAAATTAAACTTCCCTTAATGTCTATAAAAACTGAGAACACTCAAGAACAAGGCTCTCTTAAAAGAGTGAATATGAGTAAAGTAATATGCTCAAGATCACAACACGAACTTCACAAAAATGGCTCTCGAAAAACTATGAATAATGTATGAATAATATGCAATGAACGAATAGGAGTTGTGAAGTAATGTGATATGTAAAATAGACCCAAACACCCCATTTTATAGCGGAAAAATAGGCTCCAACGGATTGGTACAATTTGTGGGATTTGATTAAATTTAGATCTGCTGAAATTCACCAGACACCGCTGTCCTAGGCTTGGACATCGTTGTTCTAGGCTTGCGTTTTGAAAATTGGGAAGCAACGGTCATGCCAACAGCGATGTCCAATACTCCTACATCGCTTTTTTGGCTGTTAACTTCCAAACAAGGAAAGTTTTAGCCTTAAATTCCTTCCAACGGTCAGGTCCCTACATCGATGTTCAATACTTGAACATCGATGTTTAGGTCTGACTTTGAAGGTGGAATTTTGGCCTGACAGCGCTGTTTCTAGGTCAACATCGCTGTCCAAAAACTTTTTGCCAATGCACTATATTTTTGGCTTAGGTTGGACAGCGCTGTAGGGAAGGCTACATCGTTGTTCCAGATGTTTCTGGAAACCCAACCTTGGCTCAACAGCGATGTCTAATATGCAACATCGTTGTTGGAAGACTTAACGCCAAACCATGGTTTTCAGCTACCCAAGCCAGACAGCGCTGTTGGTTGCACCAACATCGCTGTTGGGCTGGTTTAGCCAGAACCATGGTTGGTTTAGTCATGTCGTTAGCCGATGTCAAAAACGTATGTTCTCCAAAATAAAAACCAAGTATTGAAAACATTTGTTTATTGAATTTTGCTAAGAAATCAAGTAAAACAACTCAAAACCACGTCATTTAGTTGAAAACCACGGCTAACCAAGTTTGTGTCGTTTCACATGGTTTTCACTAAACGACAAAAAACGGAAGGTGGTTTTTGAAGCGTTTTTGTTGGAGAACTGTTTAAATATGCCCAGAAGTAAAAACCAATCATAAAAATTTGAAAACCACTTGGTTGGTTCGGATGCCAAAAACCAATGCCGAAAACCGAAAGCCGAACGCCGGTTTCTGAAAGCCGAACGCTGGATGACTTGGTTTTTGGTTTAGACGAACCCCAAGTGTTTTTAGGCATGTTTAAAACTTAAGAAGAGCATTTTTGAATATGCAAAAATTATTTTAATGATATGAGCCTAGAGAGCCAAGTTTTGAAAGTTTGTGCCAGTCTTGATCACACTAAGACCGACTCAATACAATTCTACGTCTTCGTTCTTGATCCTTGGTTCTTGGTTCTCAAATCATAATGCGATGTTCCTTCGCCTTGGTTTTGCTCACTTTAGCCTTGTTATTGTCGGCGGTTTGGCATTATCAAAACCTGTCATAAAACGAACACGGTTTAGTACGACGTAGGCATAACCCGTGTTCCAACAATTTCCCCCTTTTTGATAATGGCAAACAAGACGGGGATATGCATACTAAGGGATATTTGATTTTCAAAGAGTTGTGAAAAAGTTCCCCCTTAATTTGTGCTTAACAGAAATTAGTCGGATTAAAATCAAACGGTCTCGTTTTTAGAGGCGTTCCCCCTTAGTATATGCATAGCCCTTTTCTTCCTCCTTTTGACATTAACAAAAAGATAGAAGATAATTTTATTTATTAAAGGGAAAAGGCGGAGTACAACGGAAGTAATAATAATAAAAAACAAGACAAGTGAGGAAAGAAGAGATAAAAATTCTAGGTGTGGCCTAGTATTCGTCTTCGGTTTCCTCCTCGTCGTTGTCGACGTCCATCTCATCACCGTCAACGGCGTCATCAAACTCGTCCTTGTCCGGGGAGTTTGTCGGGGCGTAGGAGTCATCCTCTTTGTCCTCGTCCTCGTCATCGTACACTTGCCCAAGGAACGTGCCTTGGTACGGTGGGGGGACGTAGTTGACGCGTTGGAAGTATGCGTTCATGGCGTGCCCTTGGCGTTGAACAGCCTCGTCGAGCCACTCAAGGTAGCCATCCATCCCGTCAACTTTGAAGTGAAGCCGGTTGAGGGAGTCGGCGATGGAGGCAGGGTTGGCCCGGGCCTGGGGTTCGGCTGGGCCAGCAGCAGAACGGCGCCATGGCGCGGCAGTGGCAGTGGCAGGTCCGGCGTTGTCTGACCGCTTCTTGAAGGTTTGTTTGCTGATCGCTCAAATCTTCATGGCGTTCATGAGTGGGCCAACGGTGGTGGTCACCTTGAACCGTTCAAGGATGTCCATCACCACGAACTGGTACGGGAGGAGGTGATCGTGGTCGGTGGACGCGACGACTGTCATGTTGATCATGACAAACTTTGCCCAATTGATTGGTGCCGAGTGCATGATCGCATGGAGGAGCTTGAGGTCCTCACCAGACATGATTGTGTGCCCATGCTTCCGGGGCTTGATAATTCGGGACACGATGTAGAGAAGAAGCCGGCTCTCGGGGTTTGCGGAGTGGATGGTGGGGCGGCCCGAGGCATGGCGGATGAGCTCGGTGATGCCAAGCTCGTTGAGGATAAGGCCCTCGTTGTTGAGCACCCAGTCCTCTCCGCCATAGTGGGAGACGTCGTCGCCTTGGTAGGGGAGGCCGGCGATGCGCCCAAGCTGCTCAACGGAAAGCTATATCGGCGTGCTCTTGACAAGAGAGTAGAGCACTCCGCCCTCACGCCGGAGGTTGGAGTAGAAGACCCGAATCAGCGCCGGGTTGATCTCCTTCCGAGCCCGGGAGACGAACGGCCAAAGGCCGGCTTGGTGAAGCTGCACGTCTAGATCGTCGTAGCCCTGCAACTCCGGGAAGCGCTCCAGGACGATTCGTGGGGGAGCCACAACCCGTTTAGAGAAGAAGGTGAGAAAGCGGGTGCGCTCCTCCTCAGAATCGAACCAGAGGTACGACCCATCGCCGTAGTAGAGGCGTTCCTTGGAGGATGTCGTAGGCGCCCGGGATTTAGACTTTGATTTCCCGGAGGTGGCAGCCCTGCTCTTGTCCTTGCCCATGATGAAAAAAATTCAAAAGAGAAAAGTAGAGATGATGAAATAAGCAAAGATATTGAAGAGAATTGTGTTTGTGTGTGTAAAAGTGAAGAGAGGGGGGTCCCAATTTATAGGAAAAGAGGTCTCCAACGTCCAGGTTTTCAAAAATATGGCTGTTGGAGCAATTAATGCTGGTGCCAACGGGTATTTTTTTTGAAAAAATTGACCAGAACAGCGATGTTCTACAGGGGACATCGTTGTTGGGACAGCGCTGTTGTGCCCTTGTACAACGCTGTTCTGCGTCAAGTTTAAAAAAAACAGGAGTCAATTGGATAGCGATGTTGGGTACCCTACATCGATGTTCCAAAAGTTTCTGGAATTGTGTAAGGGTTTGAACCCATTAGAACAGCGCTTTTGGGTTTCTCTACATCGCTGTTTTACGATTGGAGAAAAAAAATTGTAAAAATGGACATCGATGTTGAAAGTGGGACATTGTTGTTTGAAAAGTTTCTGGTTTTAGTTGAAAAACAAGGTGTTTTGGGTAGACAGCGATGTTTTAAAAAAAGAGCATCGATGTTCAAAAAGTTTCTAGAAAGTGAGGATTAAGGGACTCCCTGGGACAGCGTTGTTGGCTTATTGTACAGCGCTGTTGGCACAAGCTGGTTGACGGTGTTTCTCTCAGCAGCGCTGTTGGGTCTCCTGGACAGCGCTGTAGGCATGGTTCCCCCTGATTTCATGAACGGGGTTCCTGCAAAGTAACACTTTGGTACCCAAAATATTTTTATGGGTCCTTGGAGGTTAATTGGTTTTTTTATTATCCACACACACACCGAAAGTTTATTTCCACACACTGGAAGTGTGTGAGCCAAACTACTATTAAATCCCCAATGGAACCGGTTGGGCAGCAGGGCACCAACCGCCCAAGGTCAGATGGACTTGCCTTACGGCTATAGAGCCACACTAAACACAGCCAAGGCCATTGCCTTACACCTGAAAGAAGAAAAGCACAAAGTAGAAGAAATAGTAAGGTTTCTTTTGTGCATTAGCCTGGGGAGATTGTTTATGATACGAATATCCTTTTCTAAAGGATTTCTTTTCGTTAGCACCAAATATGTTGTGTGTTTCATTATAGGTGAGATTCCTATGTCTAGTAAAACACACGGGAGCTATATGTCCTACCCTATTGCAATAATGGCATACTACGTTTGGGTTGAACATATGCCTAGGTTGATAATAGCTAGGGGGTCTAACCATATTCATCCTATTTTGAGAAAAGGATGTTTTATGCATGTTTTCAAAAGAATCATTTCTAGGTGTTCTTATGTTATTTCTCCTATTTTGAGAAAAATTATTATTATGCACAAAATCATTTTTCTTAGGTTGTCTACCATGAACATTTTCATTCCTAGGTTTTAGTCTAGGTTGTCTAGTGTCCTTAGGTTGACTAGGTTTTCTATTATCCTGATTTTTAGGTTTCTTACGTTGAGCCTTAGATAATTGTCTAGATGGTGGCTCAACGTTTTCTTTAACCTTAACTTCATTTTTATTGAAACCTATTCCTTCCTTAGAAAAATGCATAGTGTCAAGGAGCAAATTTAAATCTTTGTGCGGAATATTAAATTTCTTGACCGTACTCTCAAGTTTTGTGACTTGTTCCCTTGAAGCTTTACAAGATTCACATTCGTTTGAGGAACTTTCTGGTTTGTCGGCGCTTCTTTGGCCATAAAATTTATTTTCTTGTTTTAACTTCTCATTATCTTTTTCCAGATTTTCAAAATCATTTTCAAGAGTGGAGAGGTGTTTCTTTAACGATTTGTTGATTTTAGAAGCGCTAACAAATTCATCATAAAGTTCATGAAGTGCTTCTTGCATTTCTTTAAAGGTGTAAGAGTCGGAAGAAATGGTACATACCTCTTGTACATCGTCGGTTTGGTCTCCGTGCGCCATGAGACAGAGGTTGGCAGTTTCATCCTCGTCTTGGTCGGTTGACTCGTCTCCAGAGTCGCCACCCCAAGAGATATATGCCCTTTGCCTTTTGAATTTACGAGCATTCCTTCAACTTCTCGGGCAGTTGTTCTTGATATGCCCGGCTTCACCACATCCATAGCACACAGGGCCATCCTCAACCTTTTCTTTCTTCCTTAGAAGTTTGCAAAACTTCTTCATGGCAAGCTTGACTTCATCATCGTCGCTTGAATCATTCATCGTTGATTCTTTGACGACTTTTAATGTTATTCCTTTCTTTTGGTCATTCAAAGACGGGTTAAGAATAGTAGATTCATAAGTTTTTAGATTACCTCTTAGACCGTCGATGGTGATATTTGATGTGCCGATTGACTCATAGATGGCATCAGCCTTGGATCGCCATTCAGATGTCAAGCTCCGTAGGACCTTTCGCACATGATCCCTGTCGGTGTAAGTCTTCTTCAATGCATGAAGATCGTTGACTATCTTGGAGAATCGGTCGAACATGTCGTCGATATTTTTGTGCTCCTTCATTCTAAACATCTCATACTCTTGGGTGAGGAAGTCGATCTTGGCTTCACGTACTTGGTCCGTTCCTTCGTACGTCACCTCAAGTTTATCCCACATCTCCTTGTCGGTTGTGCAGCAGGAGATCTTTCGATAGTCATCAGGGTTGACCGCACAATATAGCATATTGATGGCCTTTGCATAATTCTCAATCTTCTTGATGTCCTCGGCATCAAATTCGTCCTCGGTCTTTGGGACCATGGTTTCTCCCACTTTCTTCACAGGGATTTCCTCGCCATTCTTGATCACCAACCACAATTGGAAGTTGGTGGAACGGATATAGATTCTCATGCGTTCCTTCCAATATGAGTAGTTGGTGCCATCAAAGAGTGGTGGCCTAGAAGTTGATTGACCTTCTCCAATTCCTGCATAAAGATTTCTAAAAGAAGAACCCATGATCGCTTTACTCTCAAACGGTTAAGTTTGCACGCGAGTTAGGCTCCGATACCAATTGTTAGAATAATAGACCAACGCTAGAGGGGGGTTAATAGCGTTTGATCAAGAAATCGCAGGAATAAAAAATGAATAAACGAGAAGTAAAGGGAAGAGCAAGAGGCACACCGATTTTACCCTGGTTCACCACAACTTGTGGCTAATCTAGCCTTCCGAGAGACTCTCTCGAGCTACACTACTTCCGTTAAGCTTATGGGTGCTTAACAAACCGTTACAACCTGAGAACTCGAGTCCCACGAGCCTCAACAACACTTGCTCGGAGATACCGCACTCCAAGACTTCAACCCGAAGGAAAGTACCTTTCCTTCGTACAACCAAGGGAAACAAATTAAACTTCCCTTAATGTCTATAAAAACTGAGAACACTCAAGAACAAGGCTCTCTTAAAAGAGTGAATATGAGTAAAGTAATATGCTCAAGATCACAACACGAACTTCACAAAAATGGCTCTCGAAAAACTATGAATAATGTATGAATAATATGCAATGAACGAATAGGAGTTGTGAAGTAATGTGATATGTAAAATAGACCCAAACACCCCATTTTATAGCGGAAAAATAGGCTCCAACGGATTAAAACATTTAAGGGGTGATTGGCACAATTTGTGGGATTTGATTAAATTTAGATCTGCTGAAATTCACCCAGACAACGCTGTCCTAGGCTTGGACATCGCTGTTCTAGGCTTGCGTTTTGAAAATTGGGAAGCAACGGTCATGCCAACAGCGATGTCCAATACTCCTACATCGCTTTTTTGGCTGTTAACTTCCAAACAAGGAAAGTTTTAGCCTTAAATTCCTTCCAACGGTCAGGTCCCTACATCGATGTTCAATACTTGAACATCGATGTTTAGGTCTGACTTTGAAGGTGGAATTTTGGCCTGACAGCGCTGTTTCTAGGTCAACATCGCTGTCCAAAAACTTTCTGCCAATGCACTATATTTTTGGCTTAGGTTGGACAGCGCTGTAGGGAAGGCTACATCGTTGTTCCAGATGTTTCTGGAAACCCAACCTTGGCTCAACAGCGATGTCTAATATGCAACATCGTTGTTGGAAGACTTAACGCCAAACCATGGTTTTCAGCTACCCAAGCCAGACAGCGCTGTTGGTTGCACCAACATCGCTGTTGGGCTGGTTTAGCCAGAACCATGGTTGGTTTAGTCATGCCGTTAGCCGATGTCAAAAACGTAAGTTCTCCAAAATAAAAACCAAGTATTGAAAACATTTGTTTATTGCATTTTTCTAAGAAATCAAGTAAAACAACTCAAAAACCACGTCATTTATTTGAAAACCACGGCTAACCAAGTTTGTGTCGTTTCGCATGGTTTTCACTAAACGACCAAAAACGGAAGGTGGTTTTTGAAGCGTTTTTGTTGGAGAACTGTTTAAATATGCCTAGAAGTAAAAACCAATCATAAAAAGTTGAAAACCACTTGGTTGGTTCGGATGCCAAAAACCAATGCCGAAAACCGAAAGCCGAACGCCGGTTTCTGAAAGTCGAATGCCAGATGACTTGGTTTTTGGTTTAGGCAAACTCCAAGTGTTTTTAGGCATTTTTAAAACTTAAGAAGAGCATTTTTGAATATGCAAAAATTATTTTGATGATATGAGCCTAGAGAGCCAAGTTTTGAAAGTTTGTGCCGGTCTTGATCACATTAAGACCGACTCAATACAATTCTACGTCTTCGTTCTTGATCCTTGGTTCTTGGTTCTCAAATCATCATGCCATGTTCCTTCGCCTTGGTTTTGCTCACTTTAGCCTTGTTATTGTCGGCGGTTTGGCATTATCAAAACCTGTCATAAAACGAACACGGTTTAGTACGACGTAGGCGTAACCCGTGTTCCAACAATCATAACATCAAATTAAGCCCTCGCTCCTCGTCTTGTATTTTCCCTGGCTATTCGTTATCTCAATCGGCTTATCGCTGTTATGATATTTCCTCGGGACGAATATATGTTTCTCGCCATGTCAAGTTTGTTCCTCATATTTTTCCCGGTCTCCCTGATGTCCCTGCCTCTGTCACACCGTTAGCCACCGTATCTTTTCCTGTCTTACCTCCCACCTGCTCCACCCCTCTACCTTCCTCCCCACTTTCTATAGCAGCTCCATAGCCTCAATTGCCACATTCCGCCTCGCCTCCATCCTCTGTTCTTTCCCGTTCTTCCGCATCGCCCTCTACTTCATCATCCGCAGCCGTCCCGTCTCCACCGCATCGACCAGTGCGGGAGAGAATGCTTAATCGCCGTTACTTTAATGATCATCTCATAAATGTTTGTACTCTTGCAGATTTTGAGTTGCCCACTAATGTTAGACAAGCTTTGAAGTCTCCAAACTGGAAGTGTGCTATGGATGAAGAATTTTATGCATTACAGCGTAATGAAACTTGAGTACTGGTTCCTAGGCCACGTCAACCTCCCATTCACTGCAAATGGATTTTTCGGATAAAGCGCAAGCCAGATGGTTCGGTGGATCCCTATAAAGCTCGTTTGGTAGCTAAAGGGTTTTTGCAGCAGCCGGAATGTTCGATTATGTGTGACCCATGGTCCAGGTCCTCGACCTTTTGCTTCTCAGATTCGGTCTTCCCATGACGGTCGACTTTTGTTGGTGCATGGTCCACCATCCTTGACCGCGTGTAGCGCTAAACTCTTGGATTTATTTCCACATTTGGACGATAGACCATTTCTATCAAACGGTCCACCGACCTCAACCACCTCTAGAGGCGAACTCCTAGATTTATTTTCACATTTGGAGGGTGGACCGTTTCTGTCAAACGGTACACCAAGCTCAACTATTTGCACTCAACAATCCTTCTTCGGAACCGTCCAACAGCTGGACTGTGCGAGACCTAATTCTCGGGGCTTGTTCATTTAGTTCTATTTTCGATTTAAATCATACAGAAATCTTTCAGGACATCTCGAAACTCATCAAACCTTAATTTCTCTGCCATCACGAGATGAGTATAACCTTATTGGATTTGTTTTGCTTGAGATCATGTGATGGATCCCGTTGGTACGAACGGTAAGTTGGAAGTATTTCTATATCGATTCACATCACTTTATTTTATTTTATGTACGTAGTGTTTGTTTTCTGAAATATGGAAATACTGCGCAGATAAAACATAAGTAATCAAATCAACTTTAGGAGAATCATATGGTTGCAATGACATATATTTCAACATTTTTCATTTTTCAACTTTTTGATATTTCAAAAGTATTATATTTTTTACAACATGTTTTAATTTTTTCCAAATATTTTCTAATTCATTCTAGTATTTACTACTTTTTTTAATTTTTTATAGTTCTATTCCGTTTTTTCTAATTCCCTTTGTTTTCTCTAGTTTCTACTACCTTCTTTTAGTTTCTTCTAATTTTATTCAATGAGATTTTTGTGTCGTTTACCCCTTAACTTTCCAAAAATTGAGTGGATTCTTTTTGAACATTAAAAACTGCAAGAGTGCCCCTTGAGTTTATAAAAATATTACACCATTGGTCCCTCTGTGCCATATTTTGGAGTACGTTAATCATATGCTCATCAATATCCTATTGAAATTTGATGAAGATGTCAGAGGTTGATCGATTGATGACGAACTTTGTCGTCTGATATTCTGCCTTCGAATTTGGTTACTGACGGCTAAATCGAAAAAATTATCTAGGGTTTAAAGAGGTTAAAATTATAGAAATTAATATTTGGGAAAGGCATATTATAGTACTCACGTATGATATACGATTTTGAATGAACTCACACTTGCACTTGATTGTCTAGATGAGTGTGTGATTAACACACTCGTAAAACTGACACAGAGAGACCAGTAGTGCAATATTTTTAAAAATTCACGGGATATTGGTACAAATTTTAAAGTTCAGGGGAGATTCGTCCAATTTTGGGAAAGTTCAGGAGTATATGGTGCAAAAAACACTTTAATCAATTTCTAGTATTTCTTTTTTTTTTTCCCAATTTTCTAACATCCAACTTTGTTTCAATACTGAAAAATGATGAGCTCCATCCCTGAGGCCCTCCTGACGGTCACTAGAGAAGGTAAATTGGATTTTAATCCCAGATTCTAGATTGGTGGCATGTAGTAAAGTTTGCACCTCATACTTGCAAAGACCTTATGATAAACATAATTGTCTGTCAGGACAGTTATGGTACTCCCGACCTTTGTCAACTGCACAAAATAATATATAGTGTATTCAAAAAAAGAAGAGGATGGGGTTCCCATGACATTGGAATACAATGTCATGGGATGACCCGAGGCGCTCTAGGTAAACCCTCCAGGTAAATCCCCTACTCCGCCCCGACCTGAACACCCCCTACCCTCGTCAATTGCGCCCACAAGTTGATTTTAACTTTGGAGTCAAATTTTGACTCTAAAGTCAAAATCAACTTGTGGGTTGCAATTGACGGGGGTAGGCGGAGTGTGTTCGGGTCGGGGCGGGGTGGGGAGTTAGGGGGTAAGAACTGTCAATTTTACTAATGAAGTACTGGAGTGCTCCCGGGTCAACATTGGAATCTAGGTCGTTATTCTACCAAAAATTTGACAACTATTTGGAATGCCCTAGACTGTGAAGTTTGGGGTTCGTTCATTCCGAATCCTTTATATCCGAGAGCTTTCAATTCCCATCAATTGCAAATTTATCCATCTCAAAGTTTTCAAATTAAAAGAAAAATGGCCGAAAATTCATCGTCTCCTCCCAAACCAATTCAATCAGGGAACCCGGTAATTGAGACGTCGAACACACAGTTAACGGTGGCGGGGGCACCGTCGAACGCAGGAGGTTCCATGACCTCGCCTTCCAATAACAGTTCAATTTCCCACTCGCCTTCCGTTGACCTCCCGCAAATCCCCTTGACAACTTCGCAACAACAGCATCATGTTCAACAGCAACAACTGGTACAAAACCAGCAGCATCCTCAATTCTCGCAATCCCAACAGCAACAATTTGCCCAACAACAACAGCAAGTTGCTCAACAGCAGCAACAACAACAACAACAACAACATCAGCACCAAGTGTTTCAACAACAACATCAGCACCAACAGATGCAGTTACACCAGCAGGAACATAGTAATATCAGCAGTAATGACACTAGCAGTAGTAACCATAATAATATGATCACGGAATCAATGGCATCTAATTTGCAGATTCAGCAATTGCAGAGATCTCCCTCAATTTCGAGGTTGAGTCAAGTACAGCAACACCAGCAGCAGTTTGGTTTGACAAGACAGCAGGCCGCTGCTGGGATTTATGGGCAGATGAATTTTGGGGGTTGTATGCCTCAACAACAGCAGAATCTCCAACAGCAACAACAACCACAGCAATATCAGCAGAATCTCCAACAGATGAGTGCTGGTATGAATTTATCTAGATCGGCATTGATGGGACAGACTGGCCACCTCTCTATGTTACCTGGACAAAGCGCAATTGCTTCCTCTGCTGCCACAGCCCAGTTTAATTTACAGCCTCAATATTTTTCTGCGGTACGATAGTTAACTTATTTATTTATTTATCTGCATTTTTATTCCCTGAGCTTACAGTTCAAAGTTGAGCAGAAAATCTCAAGTGTGAGCATTTGCGCAATGCCGTACCAACTCTTAGTCTGTAGTGTATATGCTAACATGTTTGAATCCGTAGGGATGGTCAAAGGACCGTCAAACTATGATCTTTTGAGCTGTATTGAAATGGCCGTGTCACCAGAGTGCTAAAATGCCTTTATCTTTCAGAACATTTATTTTCTTTTAATATTGGAGCAATTTCGCGTAGTGCATGTTTGCTTTGTGATATGTTCATTACTCAGTTTTTATTTTTTATTTTTAAAAAAGAGGAGTTAATTTAGTACAAAGTGGGTACCTTGTGCATATCTGAAGTGGTTTTTCTCTTTGGTGTAGCATCGGCAAAAGGCTGGTTTAGTGACGGGGTCTCAGCTACAACCAGTGAACTCCCACGGGCAGCCCTTGCAAGGAATGCAGGCAATGGGGATGATGGGATCTCTAAATGTGAACTCTCAAAATAGAGCCAATGGATCAATTTTTTCCACGCAAAGGATAAACCAGGCCCTGAGGCAGCAAGTGTCTCAGAACTCTCCGTTCATGTCCAACCAGGTATGGAATATAATGTGATGTACCTAACCTTAAGAAAAGCTATGGATGAATAAGGGCAGATTAAAGATGGGAATATATGGTGAAGAATAGGTTGAATTTGTGTATGAAATGGTGAAGAAAGTATGGTTGTTTGGAAGAGGTGATAGGGTGGAATGGAGGGCAGGAGAAAGGCAATATTTGGAGTGGTTTTTTGATGAAGAAATGAAGTGTTTAAATGGGAGAAAGGGGATGCACGAAATTGGGAGAGAAAGAGGGAGTTCTTTTGTGGTTTTTGTTGGATAAGGATAAACCAAATAATAAATAGGAGATAAACACACTCTTATTTTATTTGGGGCTGTTTCTTTTCACACAATAATATTCACTATTATTATATGAAATAGACTCCTAACACACACTCAAAAGTAGCCAACTTTAGAGATATTTCATTAGGAAATGGGGAGAACTAGCTTCACACTAATTCAAATATTTTACTC